AGAGGCCCAGGCACAAGGAGGGCGGCTAGATTGGATGGTCTCAGGAGGAATGGGATGAAGAGTTTAGCTTCAAGTTCAGGAGAGGAGTTGCCTGCCATTTGGAGGTGTTGAATCTCCACACAACCAGGAGAAAAGATGGGGGTTCGGCTCCAAGGGTGTTTGATAAAACACCCTGAGGTGATAAGTGTTTGGACAGGATTGCCAGCATGGAGGTCATCACTGTGGAGACAGCCACCATGGCTGTGGTCCTGGGACCAGCAGCCTTTGCCTCCATGTTGGGTATGACAGCCCCGGTGAGGAACAGTTCTCCAGTGCCCAGAGCCGCTCAATGAACGGTTAGCAGAATTCATCAGCAATACCTTGAGCATGAGGAGCAAGAGAAATGAAGATCATCATCATCGAGTAAGGATCAAGTTCCTCCTCATTTACCAAAATCATGGGGTCCTAGTAGGATCAAGTGGAGGAAGGCAGGAAACCCCAACGACAACTGCCATTGGACATCTCACCAGCTTCGCAAGTGGTATCTTGGAGCTGAATTTAAAATGCATACACAGATGGGGCACCTGGGTGGCTCAATTGGTTAAGTGTCTGGCTTTGGCTCCGGTCATGATCTCACAGTTTGTGAGTTCGAGCCCCGCATCGGGCTCTGTGCTCAGAGCCTGGAGCCTGGAGCTTGCTTCGGATTCTGTGTCTCCCTCTCTCTCTGCCCCTCCCCTGCTTGTGCGTGTTCTCTCTCTCTCTCTCTCAAAAATAACATTAAAAAAATAAAATAACATACGTATACAGAAATAAAGCATTTCCTGAGGCTTGAGTGTCGTGGAGTATTCAGAACTGGTATGTGACTATGAACGTATTAAAGAATTTTAGAAGAAACACGCTCACTCGCATCTGTTTCATGGAACACGGCTTGAAGCAGGACACAGTTGGGGGATATACCAGTGTAGGGGTTTCTCTAGCACCCAGTTCCTCTATGGGAGCCTCACCACACTTTCATACAAACTTGGCCTCATATTGCCTTTCTCAAGCCAGAGGCCCTCAGCTGGATGCTTTTCCTACCTCACTGGGAAGGTGAGGAGAAGACGTGAATCCATGGAAGTCAAAGAAGCCTGTAAAAGGCTGTGATTTTATTGGTTCTCATTTTTTCTACCTTCTTGTCGTATTATTAACCTCACAGGTTCGAGGGAGGACCAGCTGAGCTAAAGTAAAAGTACCTAGGCTATGTGGGACCCTCTGGGAACTTGGTCCCTAGCACTTCCCACCCCCTGCCCCACTGTGGCTGCGGGGACTGGGTGGCCTCTCAGGAGCTGAGAAATGCAACTTTGCAGATTTCAGGGGGTGGGTGGTACAGGTCTTAGAGAACTGGTCAGGCCAGCCTGTACCGTGTGGGAGGCATTACAAAGGCCCAGGCTACAGTCTGTTCTCTTCGGGGCGGGTTCTGGAAGCTACCACACAGTTCCCAGGGGCCAAGTTGGCTCTCTGACCAAGGCCTGCCTCTTCCCCTGTCTCCTGGCCTCTTCTCCCACAGTGGCTTCTGCTTGCTGGCCTTACTTACAGCCCCTGCCCCTTGCTTTCCACTTCCCTTAGCCTCGGCCTGGTTTCCCACCTTAACAGAGAAGATCACCATACAACAGTCATGTTCCGGAGTCAGAGAATGTAGGGGTTCAAGGGGAAAATGGAGCTTAACTGACAGAACTCTAGCTCCTGGCACTTGATGATCTGAGAACAAATCCACATGCACGCACGTACTCAAAAATACACAAACACCCACCCACCCACCAATTACACATCTGTGCACAAACAGCATCCGACTATAAACATTCTCACACATAGAACATTCAAGTACTCACATGCACAGAACACACACAAAGAACTCAGGCACGCAAATTATACACAAAATACACAAAATCTGAGCATGCACAGCTATGCACAAATTTACACACATGCACAAGTACATATAAACAAAATGCAGTGCAAATATAAACTCAGATGCCCAAGTATAGATGTGCTGTAGCAATGAACCTATCTCTTTCCATTTCTCCTTATCTCAGTCAAGGCTGTTTCTCTGAACGGTCCCAGTGCTTCTTGCCAATCTGTCTAGGAGGCTTCATAAAGGGGCTTATGAAATATCGCAAAGAACTGTAATAAGAAGGGGCCTGGAATCTCCAGGGTGGACCTTGTGGTCTGTTACAATAATGACAGCAGATACTTCTATTGTGGTGGGTAAGTGTCAGGGGTCTTACGTGTATTCACCAAATGCTTTGTGCCTATTCACTCATTTGGTCCTCGTTAACAACCTACAGAGCAAGCACCGTTGTTACCCGCATGGCATAGCCAAGGACACAGGTTCAGAGTTAATTACTTTTTCCGAGGTACTACAGTCAGGAGATTAACTTCAGGATACAGGCTTGTCAACATCCTTCGAGGCCGTCTCGTCCCCCGTGCTGAGTCCTGTAGCGGCTGAATAACATTCTCAAGGACACGCAGGCTGCCCAGTTCCCAGCCCCGGACCAGGAGGAACGCCTGGGTCTCCTCTGCACTTGCTGGATGTTCTCTCCTGTTACACCCTTTGTGTTTATGCTTTTCCGGCTACAATGAGGCCTTGTAATTTCTCCCCGGAGGGAGAAACAGCCTCCTTGCTAGTCTTTGCTTGCTTGACTCTACCCTGGCAATTATCTTCAATATGGGCTGCTGGAGTGATTCTTCAAGGAAAAAAAAAAAAAAAAAAAAAAAAAAAAAAAAAAAAAAAAAAAAAAAAAAAAAAAAAAAAAAAATCTGACCATGCCCCCACAGTCCTCTCTAAAAGATCTAACTATTCCCTGTTGTGCGCAGGCTGGATTCCCAAGCCCTGAGCATGACATCGAAGGCCCCGCATGGGGGTGCCTGGGAGGCTCAGTCGGTTAAGCATCCAACTCTTGACATCAGCTCAGGTCATGATCTCACGTGAGTCTGAGCCCCGCGTCGGGCTCTGTGCAGACAGCTCAGAGCCTGGAGCCTGCTTCGGATTCTGTGTCTCTCTCTCACTCTCTGCCCCTCCCTCCCACTTTCTCTCTCTCTCTCTCTCTCTCTCTCTTTCTCTCTCTCAAAAATAAATACACATTAAAAAAATCAATGAAGGCCCCCACGTGATGATGTGGTGCCTGTCTGTTTCCATCCGGGTCTCCCCTTCTGTCTCAAACGTTCGCAACCGCGACTGTCGACTGACTTTTCTCCTACCTAAGCGCCTGAGCAGTTCCTTTCACCTGACCAAGTCTCAATTTTGTCCGATGTGAGTTGGAGGCTTATGATTTCCACTTCGGAGGAAAAGAAATATAATAAATATGAGGATGCAAAAATAATGATAATGAAAACTGACATAATAATAGTTAATGATTATTCAGCACCTATGAGGTGTCAGGTACTTGGTTAAGCAATTTATGCAAGTTATCCCACTTAATTCAACCAGGTGTAGTTACGATTTGTATTTGATCATAGGATACTCAGGAAATTTACCTTGCTCAAGGCCAACAGGTACCGAATGTCAGGGCCAATCCTCAATTTCAAATCTGTGTGAAATCAAAACCTGTTCTCCAATCCTGGTATTCTTGGATCCTAGAATTCTCTTCGGTCTTCTTCTCCTGTCATAGTTTCCGAAGTTCTGCCCGAGGTCCAGTCCTTATTCAGCTTCCTGAGATGCTGGGCTGAAGGGATATAGTCCACGCACTTTCTCTACACCCTGGAAGGACTTGGGTTGCTTCCCCATTAGATCACTTCTTATAGGTCAAGGTATGTTATTTATTTGGACCACAGGTATTTATGAAGTTCCTGCGATGTGTTGGGTGTGTCAGAGGTTGCTAGCTCCTCCCCCAATATCTGTCCTTCCCTTCTTCTTAGTAAGACTACCCCCGAATGTTAGCTAGCCACGGTTGCCCAGAATAAAGAAAATATTTCCATTCTACCCTGCATGTAGGTGTGGCCCTGTGAGTAAGTTCTGGCCAATGTACTGGAGTGGAAGCCATGTGTGCAGATGCTGAGTCGTGTCCCTTAAAGGCAAAAGTACACAGTTCATTTCCTTCTTTCTCCTCCCCCGGATGGCTGCAGTGGGGCCTTGACAGCGGGGACTGGAGCAGCCCTCTCAGGTCATCAAATGAAGCTGCCTGTGGAGGATGGCAGAACATCAAGCCAGGGGGACCCTTGCTCTCTGCTGAATCAGGAAGCTGCTACACTCAACTCCTTGCCCAGACTTTTCCATGAGAAAGAAGTCAATGTCTGTCTTTTGGAATCCTTGTTCGGGGAGAATACCTGTTAAAACAGTTGAATTAATACTCTAATCCAGGGGAGGTTACGGGCGGTGGGGTTACAAGGCAAATTTCTGACATTCGAATGGAAGAGACAAAGATGAAGCATGTAAAACAGAATTGAAAAGAACGGATACATCCGTGCAGGTGGTGCATCAAGGGCTGACGATCCAGAGCCACTGTAGGTGGGAGCGCCGATATCTAGGGTGACTAGGAAAGGCCTGTCCAGGAGGTGACCTTCCAGATGAGACTGAATGATAAACAGGAGCCAGCCATGGAAGGTCTCAAGGGAGAACAAATAACAAAGCTAAAGCCCTGAACTGGGAACCAGATTGGCGAGGTCAAGGCTCGGAAAGATACGCTTATGTATCCTTTTGTTAGAAAGCTGAGAATAAGTACATTTTTTAATTAGGAATTTCTCGATGTATATTTATGCATTCATTAATTAGTTCTTTTGGTCTTGAAAGGCTTAAGAGGCTCTAATTTGCCCGTCTCCTCCCACTATTGGCACGGGTGCTGGCCAGTTTCCCACACTCTCATCTCGTGCTTTGCCACGAAATCTGCTACACACTGTCCTCTGGCCTGGCTGATCTCATATAAATCCTCTCCTGCTATAATTCATTGCCCACAACCCTGCCAATAAAAGCGAGGTTCATCCCCGCTGCACAGAACACTATTTCTATCCCCTGCAGCACAGCCACCTCCTTCTCCTGTGACCTGCCAGCCATGAAGTTACTTCTGTTTCTTCTCCTCCTTCTGGCCATGGAACCGGTGGTCTCAGGTAACTTGGGTCCCTCTCAAGTGTCTGGGATCTTGGTCATGAACTTTTCACTTTCCTCTCCTCTTCACTGCGGGCAGCACAAAGCTTTTCCTCATCTGATGCGGCTTTGGGAGGTTTCCCCATGATCGGCTCACATCCACATTTTTCCCTGATTCTTTTTTTTTGCCAAGGTGGTGGGATGGTAGCTATTTGGAGCATCTGACACTTAAGGGCAGGGTAGTATTCTGGTGGGACCTGGGAGACGGCTTAGGGGTGATGGGTTGGGTGCAGACTGGGGACTTGTTGGGGGCTTTAGGACATTAGATTAGAAGCTGATGATGAGTTGTGATGGGGAGAAAGACTTGGGGTTGGAGTGGTAGGGGGAAGATTAGGATGAGCTGGAGGTGAGGTATTGGGCTTCCCTGATGGTTTGGAGAGGGCTGGGGAGGAGATGGGATTTGGGGTTGAGTGGAGGTGGTGCTGGGGGTAGACTGGGGCTTGGGCGGAAGCTGGGAGTTGGTAATGAATAGTGCAGGGTGTCTGATGACTGCTGCTCAGAACTGAGGTTGGTGACTTGATTAAATTTGGGTTTGGCTTGGAGTTCAGGCTCGAGGGGCATTGAGTTGGGTAGGGCTCAGCATCCTACTTAAAATTGGACGGGGTTTTGAATTTGAATTGGGTGAATATGGTCAAGGAGGACTGGAGACTGAATTGTGGCTGGACCCAGGGCTAGTTGAGCTGAAGTTAGGGCCAGGCTGTTGATAAAGAGCTGAGTCTGTTGAAGTGTGGATGAATCCCCTCCATCTCCTAATCTTATAGTTGTTTATTTCCTTTCTCATCATTCCCAAGCTCCATTAAGGAAGGATCTTCATTGGCAGCAAGTGATCCCAAAGTTAGGAGTAGCAGGTTGGGGGATAGGAAGACAGAGGGTGGGATGTCTGAAAGCCTTGGATCACCCAAGGTTGAAACAATTGTCTTGGTTCCCTCCCCTCTCAAGATCGCTTCTCTCCTTTCCTGGGACTGTGTCCAGTGTTACTTCCTCAACGGTCTCCCCTTCTCCCCTGTCCTGTTCCTCCTCTTGTCTTGCCACTTGAGGGATACTAACATCTGCTTAATGGTTGTTCCTGGGCCCAACAGCAGAGTGTTGGATGAATGGACATTGCCGGTTGGGGTGCAAAAGTGATGAAGACAGTCTCATTCGTTGCTCAAATCGTAAATGGTGCTGTGTCCTTAGTCGTTACTTAACAGTCCAACCAATGACAGTTGAAAGAATACAGCCCTGGACCGTTCCTCCGATGTCCAAGCAAGTAGAACATAAAGCCAAACCTGGCAAAAGAGGGAATATAAATGGATATCGTGGACAGAAATGGCTTTGTTTCAGGTTCCTTAGCTCCCACGTTCCATTAAAAGTCACAAATCTGTTTCTTGTGGGCGTCAATCATGAGGAATGATGCTCCAAATGGATTGAGGGTGGAGGGATGGCAGGATGGGGGTTAAGAGGTAGCAGAGGGACATCACTGGGGCTTGGACGCAGCAGTGGGGTGATGGTTCCTCATCTACCAGCTGCAGGAAAGGCTACTGGGTCGGGAGTGGACTGAGAAGTACATCTGGGAAGCCAAGAGACTTAAAGGCACAGCAGGTCCTGAGAGAGGGAGAACCCTTGGGCGGGAGAGTTGGTCCATCCTGGGGGTGAAAGGCTGGGGGTTGACATGGGCTGATTAGAGCCCAAATCCTTGGGTTTCTAGGGAAATTGGCTGAGATGCCTTTTGATCCTGGAGATCCCACAGCGCCAAGGATCAGAGGGTTTCCAAGTGCTAAAAACAGATAAAGCACATGATTTTACCCATTTATAAATGAGTTTGTTCACTATCCAGTTGGTCTGTTCTGTCATGGATTCAGTTATTCAGTCCCCTCAGCCTTGCCACTTACCGCTGTCAGACTCTGTTCATATCCCCTTCCAGGCTTCAGCTTCCCCACCTGCGAAGTTGGAACCATAGACAATCTCAAAGCTCAGGATTGTGGGAAGAAGGAAGTGAAATAATGTAGCTCACAGTGCCCAGTATATCGTAAGCCCTAATTAATGTTAGCTATTACTATTATTGTTCATTGATTTCTTTAAGCATTTAAGGAATATGTACTGTGTGCCTTCCAGCTGTGTTAGACTCTGAGGGAGACAGGAACCTGCCTCATTTAATTTAGCCTGGGAGAAGACCAACCCATGGGGAACATTCAAGAATTCTGATCGGGTACCTAGAGGACTTGGGTGTCTTCCCGGCCTTGTGGTCTCAAATCCTATTCTCTAGGCCCCATGTATCCAATACAGTTGTTCACCCCTGAACTGTGTTCCCTGTAGTGAGGTCAGAGACCAGGAATGTTCTGTAAAGCATGGTTCATGACATGAAGACAGAATAAGTTCATCCTGACCCTTGGAGATAATTTGCTCTCAGTTCAATATTTCTGCTCTTAGACTCTGGGAAGAGAGACACCTCTTCCTCTGATCCTGGTCCTACTCTGGGTGTCTTCTGATTTAGTCCCTCCCTATGGGGTTGAGAGTTGATGGGGGCAAGTGGGATATATCCATTTAGAGAACTTGTCCTCCTCTCCTTCCAAGACCATGCTTTGAGCACCTGGGGCGTGGAATTCCCTCCCAAAGAACCCCCCGTGCTGTTTCCAAGGACCACATGGGCTTTCCCCAGTTCCACCCCTGGAAGATGGGGCCCACTGTGTGTGCAAC